TTAAAGATGGTGGATTTCCGAAGTGATGCTTTGGGGGTCATTGAGACATTCCTCCAAAATCATATACACAAACTAATTGGCATTTAGGAAAATTAGTTTCTTCTCATCTCCTTTCCTTTCCCAGTATGACTGTTAATTAATGTGTCAAAATTAATTTCTAAACCTGAATGGATTTCTAGTGTTATCCACAGTGTAATCTATTTAAGTACTTTTTTTGGAAATGGGATCCAGGTTGTTTGATGTTTCCTAAAATTCTAACCTATTTCTTTTTTCACCTATCTACTTATGAGACTCAAGTGAGAGGTTGGAGAGACAAAACTCAGGATTTTTGCTGGGAAGTCTTACTGGATGCTTACTTGTGCCAGAAAAAGCAAGTCCCCTTGCGCTTGACTCCTCTCCCATAGTGATGATGAAGACTCCCTGGATCACCTTACACATTGTTAAATGTTAATCATGTGATATCTGGGAGATGGGATTATGTCGGTGATTTTAATTATCATCTCTGTGCTTTTCTGTCTTTACCAAATTTCCTATAGTGGGTATGCATTTCATCTGTAATGGATGTGGCTGGGGACCCAGCCAACCCACTGTTTTGAAAATAAGTCTTTCATCCCCAGAGTGAATTTCAGCTTTAAATATAACAAGTACACTAAGAGGTGGGTGATGGGCCTCCTCTTATTCCACTCAGTGTAAGTCAGAGGGAGGTAGGACCTGAAGACAGACTGGGAAGTTAATGTTTACAAGCCATTTTGAACCTTCTTGAACTAAGAGGGGAGAGTTGGGGTTTGGGACTATAAAGGGCAGGAAGGCAATTTTCGTGGAAATGGAAAAACAAATACTTAGTAAATAAATGTTTGCTGGGTCATCTTTAAGAATGGGACACAGACAGGACTTTGATCAAAAGGGCATGGCTGGGTTCCTTCCCATCTATCACAAACTAAAAATTAAACTACGGTCACCTACAATGATAGCGCCCTTCCTGGAGCATACCCTCTGTCTAGATTCTTTTAGGCAGGAAGGGGTAAGATAAAAGATTGAGTCTTTTGATAGTTAAAAATAATCAGCTTAAAATAATCATTATCCCAAATAGGTGTATTTGGGGATACAAACTCTGCTTCTCCTTATCAAACAGTCTAGTTTGAGGTGTGATGAATCAATTATCATTTCACACTGCCTTAAGTGGAGGGCCTTGTGCACTGGGAGCCTTTTTCTCTTCCTCTTTCAGTGGTGAGAGCCCTTCTCCTCCCATGTGGAAAAATGTAGTTTGTGAAGCCAGAGAAATTGATTCACATAGAAATTCAGTAACTGTAAATGTTCCAGAAGGCTAGACAAACAACAGGACTAGTAATTTTAGTCTTCCAGTGATTATAGTTATTGTGTTTAGGAAGAAACTCCTCCCTTCCTGCCCTCAATAACTCCTCCCCTCCGCTGCTCCATTACTGTTTTCGCTATTTTTGCAAGGCCACGGAATCTCTTGAAATTTCCTTCCTTTTAGGAATCAAGTGTAAACATTTACTCTGAAGTCCGTAACATGACCTTTTTTCCTGAATGACTATTAGTCTTTAAAAAAATTATTATTTATTGATTTGAGAGAGATTTGCTATTCCACTTATTTCTGCATTCATTGGTTGATTCTTGCATGTGTCCTGCCTGAGGATCCCATCCTTGGCACCTTGACATACTGAGATGATGCTCCGACCAGCTGATCTACCCAGCCAGGGTTTTAGTCTCAGTCTTCAGCAATAATCTCAGGCCTTGGGGTTAGAGCTGAGTGCTGGGAATTTATCCATGCTGTTGAATACAGGAGTTAATATTACTGCCTACATAATCAGGCGCTAACAGGAATGTATCTCAAGGCCCTCTCTCCTCCTATCTTTCACTTCTACCTACAAAGGAAGATCATAGGATTACAAAACTGCAAGAAATCTTTACAGATTCTGTAACTCCCCTCTTCATTATGCAGATCAACAAGTGGAGGGTCACAGTTCCTCATTGCAGTGACTGGCACTCAGTAGGTACAGGACTCAGCAACTACTCCTTTATTATTTCCAATCTACGTTGTTCAAAATGACCAGTCTCTATTAGAATATGAGGTTCTGAAGTTAAAAATTGTTTCCTTTCCACTCTACCACACTGAGTTACGTACTTCCATTCCGTTTATAGTCATGATAGCCATAACTTTAAAAGCTTCATTGAGATATAATTTACATACCATACAGTTCACCTATTTAAAGTGCACAATTCAATGGCTTTTAGTTTATTCAGAGCCATGTATCTATCACCACAATCAATTTTAGAACATTTTCATTACCCTCAAAAGAAACCCCGTACACATTAGCAGTCCTATTTTCCCTCATCCCCCCATTTGCCCTAGGTAACCACTAATCTTTCATGTGTGGTCCCTTGTGACTGGTTTCTGTTACTTAGCATAGTACTTTCAAGGTTCATACATGTTGTAGCATGTACTTCATTTTTTAAATAGATTTTCATTTTTTTAAATAAATAAAAATTATTGATCCCAGAGAGGGGAAGGGGGATAGAGAGAGAGAGAGAAAGGGATATAAACATCCATTGGTTGCCTCCTGCATGAGCTCCAACCAGGAATCAAACCCATAACCTAGGCATGTGCCGGGACAGGGAATTAAAACCCATGATATTTTAGTGCATGGGATGACCCTCCAACTAAGCCACACCAGCTGGGCTACTTTATTTCTTTTTATTGCTAAATAATAAATATTACATTACATGTATACATCATATTTAATCTATTCAACAGCTGATGGATATTTGGCTGAATTTTATTTTCAACAAATCTCTGCTAACCAGCAGGAACTTCAAATCTAGACATAAATATATATATTTCATATCACTTTATGTTTAATTTATATTAAAAGAAGCATACTTAGTATGATTTTGTCATACCTGAAAATCAACACTGTCTTTTCTCTATATTTCCTGACATGTATGATAATATTGTGGAAAGACAAAGTAAAACCTTGCCCTAAGTTTTCATGCTAATTTGACACCCAAGGCTATGTAGATTCTGTTTTTATCGAAGAGAAAAAAAGATAAAATGAAGATCTAAGGGGTAGAGAGTAGAAGGGGACTAAATGGTAATGGAAAAAATATAGTAAATATTATTTTTTTTTTTTTAAAAAGAAAGATCCAGAGCAAGACTTTTTTTTTTTCCTGATTTCAAATGTGAGGTTTAGAAGAAAAAGAGCATTTGGGGCTCCCACACAACAAGGTAACTGGCCTTACTATGATCCAGCCATATACACAAACAACATAAGGATGGTGTGGGTAAGGGTGAGAAAGGGAGACAGTACAGACCACAAATTCAGTCCCATCTGACGTCATATGGCTTAATATTTTCATTTTTGTCCTCTGTTTATAGGTTGGGCCTCACTCAACCTCCATACGTTTTCGTGGGTCTCCAGATGGGTCCAGATTGGGAGACGTTGAGGGACTAGTTCGTGCTAGGTAGGAAGAACTTGAACTTGTAAACGTCAAGTTGAGGATATTTATGATTCTGGGAGGTGGCTGCTTCCCCCACTAAACCCTTGTTTATTCAAGTCCTGCCCCGGCTGGCCCCAGAACTCCTGAGTCACCTGCTGCGGAGAGAAGGGGCTTTTGGGAGTGACTTCCGTTCCAGTCGCAGAAGCTAGAGGAGAATGCCAATGCCGGGAAGGGACCCTTGACTCAGCCCGCCGAAGGCTTCGGTGCTGTGTCATTCCCACACGTGATGCTCTCTCAGGCGGCGAAGACCTCGCGGATCACGGGGCTTTTTCATCCCAGTGACCCAACCCCCTTTCGTTCCTATTCCTCAACCCGCACTTCCTCGCTCCGCCCCCTCTTCGAGACTTTAGGAAAGGAGGGTGACTGGAGCCAGGAAATGCCACTCTCCCAAGTTGGCCGGAAAAAGCCCAGAAACTCAGTGTTTGGGAAAGGGCCAAGATGTGGCGTTACAATCTTATCCTTCTCCACAATGCTTTGCACTTCCTCTGTTTTAGTCCATCCTTACTCTCATTATTCTCATATGGAATCTATTGATCTATCCCATTCGAGACTCCCTTATCACGCAGACTTTGTCCTGGTTACGGTTGCTTTCCCTGTCCCTCTGTTTTCCACTTTGCTCTGCACCTGGAATTCTCAATCAGAACTGGTTTGAGCCTCCAATCAGCCTCCTTCCCGTTCTAGCTGCATGACCTTGAGTGAACCACAACTTTTCTGGGCCCACTTTGCCTGTCTGTAAAACGGTGGCCAAACGTCTACCTCACGACGCCTGTCGTGAGGAACAAATAAGAAACTCCTTCGTGAGCTGTAAAAAGCAAGAGAAATGTTAGCTATGTTAATTCTGTACGGCTACTTAAGCTCCCAGAACCCCTCCCTTTCCTTTGGGACCCGCCCAACAAATCCCGCCTAGTGCTGACAGGCCTCCCCATCCGCCTCTCGCGGTCTGCCCCATTGGCGAACGCACCGTCCTCGCGGCGCCGGGTGTTGACGCCTGGTTCCGCCTCCGCCGGCGCACGAGGACGCATAGGCCCCGCCCCCGGCCGCGCTCTGCCTTCCGCGGGACCCCGCCCTTCGGGCTGACGCGGCACAGGTCCCGCCCCACATGTGACGTGAGGTGCGCTTGGCCCCACAGCCCAGGCAGTTGGTGCAGCAGCAGTTGGAATGAGCGCGCTCACCCCATCCCTCCCCTCCTCCTGCCCGAGTCCTCAGCCCCAACCCCAGCCCAAGCCAAGCGGGTCCGGTGCGGGGCGGTCCTGCCCCCTCGGCCGGCCACACCTGGCCCCGCCTCCGGGGGGGGGGAGAAGCAGGAAGACGTGCAGGCTCCGCCCCTTGCCGGGCCTGGCCTCCCGCCAGGCCCCGCCCTTCGGGCCGACGCGGTGCGGGTACCGCCCCGCGGGTGACGTGTGGCGCGCGCAGCCCCGCCGCCAGGCAGTTGGTGCAGCAGCGGTTGGGCTGAGTGCGCTCACCCCACCCCTCCCCTCCTTCGGCCCGAGCCCCCACCCCGTCGGGCCCAGCCCCAACCCCAGCCCCAGCCCCGGCCGGGCCGGTGTGCGAGCCCGTGCTGCCCCCTCAGCCAGAGACGCCCCCGGCTGCCCGCCAGCCCGTCCGCCACCATGGAGCTGGAGGACGGTGTGGTGTACCAGGAGGAGCCCGGCGGCTCCGGGGCCGTGATGTCGGAGCGGGTGTCTGGCCTGGCCGGCTCCATCTACCGCGAGTTCGAACGGCTGATCGGGCGCTACGACGAGGAGGTGGTCAAGGAGCTGATGCCACTGGTGGTGGCTGTGCTGGAGAACCTGGACTCGGTGTTCGCGCAGGACCAGGAGCACCAGGTGGAGCTGGAGCTTCTGCGGGACGACAACGAGCAGCTCATCACCCAGTACGAGCGGGAGAAGGCTCTGCGCAAGCACGCCGAGGAGGTGAGGGCCGGCCGGCCGGCGGGGAGGGCGGGGCTGGGTCCCAGGGCGGCCGGGGGTCGCGGCCCGGCCGGGAGGGCGAGCGCGACAGCGGCGGGCCTCGTGGGGGCGGGTCTGAGGCCGAGGCTCCAAAACCCAGGACGGCGGCGTGAGGTCCCAGGGACCCCGGGCCGAGACAGGCTAGTGAGTGTCCAGGAGAAGCGAGCTGGATTAGGAAGGCAAGGCCCGGAGAGGAAGCCGCAGCCTGACATGAGGGCACCTGGGTTTGGCTGAGGTCGGAGATTTTAGGATGTCTGGTCGCCTTTTGTAGTTTAGGGAAGTTTCCGACCACCGTAGGACAGCCAGATGGCGGTTCAGACTTTTACCAAGGGGATTTGTGCTTTTGAACACTTCTGTCGTGGATGTGTAACTTTCGCTGGTTTCAATACCTTTCCAGGGGGTTACTGCTTCGGGAAGTTAGAGACCTCCCTCTTTCGGTCAGTTTCTTCTTGATGTTTTAACCCTGTTGAGAAAGGGATTTCATTTTTATATTTTACTTGCTTTGGTTGACACTTTGTCAACACTTGGGTGTTGTATAGCAATACTCTGTAAGTACAGAGAGTATACAGTTTTATTTTATTGATATCCCACACCGGAATATTCCTTCTTATCAGGTGGTAACCTTGGACAGTTCCCTTTAAAAACCCTCTGTTTATGAAGAGGACTTGCGGGGGCGGGGTTGAGGAGACGTAGGTGACTGTAGGCAACCTTTTTCAGACTGCAATTTCCAGGTGGACTTGGCCCGCTGGTAAGACTAACGCCTCAGCTGTGGCCTCAGTAACCTCACCAAGGTCCGTGAAACTTTTGGAGTGCAAGGGATAGGTCTTTGACTTTTTGAGATAGTCCAGGATTTTAGCTTTCAGGTTGTCTTGGCCTGAAACTATCTAATGCAGGCGAAGTGTCCTATTCATCTTTGTTCTCTGAGTATCTAGCAACACCTAGCTAAATGCATGGTGATTGAAGGAAGCTAAATAACTCATTACTGAAGGAATGACATGTTTACCGTTCAAAAATACTTGAAGAGTTTTTAGGATGAGATTTCCTTAGCAGCTCATTTCCTATGACTAAGAAATACCACTATTTAAACTTTTGTCATGGGTACCCTTCTTTGTACCAGGTCAAATAGTTCTTTTTTTTTTTTTTTAAGCTTGGCTGTAGTGATGATTTTTAATTCTGATTTTTGTGATCCATTTGTCTCAAAGGAACACCATTGAATTTGCCAGACAAAATTGACTTTATTTCAGGAGCATTTCCAAACTGACAGGGTAGGAAGAGTTGCAAAAAATCTGAACATGGGATAACAATTTCCACTGGTTTATTAGCACTGTTTATAGAACAGAGATCATGTACACTTGTGAGCTGGCTTGCCATGTCTTCGTGCTCAGACAGGCCATTGCCTGTGTGTGGATGTATTTGGAAGAGACTGGGGAATTACCCACCATATACGCAGGTGAGGAGCAAGCCCAGCATGACCTATAACCTCGGATGAAAGAAATACTCTCTCCAGCCTTCAACTTCTGTCAGTCTCTGCAAACATGGGCAAAATGCCAGGGGTCACACAGGCCAAGAAAACCATCTGCCACAGGTTGTAGAATCAGAAAATAAAACCAATTGCTAGACTCTGGATCGTGTATTAATTTATTAAGTAAACAACTTTTAAAAAATAGGTTATCTAATGACTCTCTTGTAATTTATAATTTTTCAAACACATCTATAAACTCTCCATGAAACCTTTGGGCAGAGGTCCATGACCTGAGAATAGAGAACATTGATGAAATGCTAGATGATCTAACTCCCAGACCACAAACATAAAACCACCTAGTTATCAGTTTTCATGTAAGGCCATAAATCAAGTATTACAGCATTACCGGATACCCAGAAATTCAGTCTCAGGCCAATATGCAGAAGTGAATTTTGTGTTTAATTTTCTGTGAGTGTTTTGAGTGTGGCCTTAATACGGAAACTAAGAGTCTGTTATTAGAGCAAAAGTATTTGAAAGCATGGAAATTGCCTATCACCAGAAAGTGTAAAGTAAATTCTGAGCACCTTTGTGGAAAGTTAGGAGAGTATGTAAATGGTGAGAATGTTTTAGGAAGTGTGAAGTGCTATAATAATCTCTTGCTTGCAGGAGTTCTCAGCAAGGAATTAGGAGTTTACTCTTTATTATAACGATATTACTCAATTTGAATACCTTCTGTCTTTTTCTTTTATTAGCATTTTTTTGTGTGGAGGTAGCTGTTGCTTTTGTGATTTTTTTCCCCTAAATTTAGTCTTTATTGTATTTTTTTCCTTTACCATTTAGTCCTCTTATCTCTTCCCTACCCCCCGCCCCAGCTGCTTTTTTTGTGAATCAACCTAAAGGAGTGCTGATTTTTTTTGTGACCATTTTCAAGTGCAAATCAAAACACCCGTCTTGCCCTGATTGGTGTGGATCAGTGGGTTGAATGACTTCCAGCAAATCTAAGGGTCTCTGTTTTGATTCCTGGTCAGGGCATATGCCTGGGTTGCTGGTCAGATCCATGGTTGGGGGCATGTGATTGGTATGTGAGAGTCAACCATGTTTCTCTGTCCATGTTTCCCTGGCACATCCATGTGTCTCTCCCTTTCTTTCTCCCTCTCTTCTTTCTCTAAAAAGAAATAAAATACTGCAAATAAATAAACACATGATTATGTTTTTAAAAAAGAAAAACCTATCTTATTGATGATCATTTACCCCTTTGGGCTCTCCCTGCTCTGGCCATATATCTTTTCTTTTCATTTTTTAAAGATTTGATTCTTTTAGAAAGAAGAGGGAAGAGAGGGAGAAAGAGAGGGAGAGAAACATCAGTTTGTGAGGGATACATCCATCAGTTGCCTCTTGCATGCCCCCAGCTGGGGACCTGGCTGAACCCAGACATGTGCCCTGACTGGGAATTGAACCGGCAACTTTTTGGTTCACAGGCAGGCATTCAATCCACTGAACCACAACGGCCAGGGCAAAAGTGAGAGTTTATTTAGTGTGATTGGATGGAGGAAAATTGCACATAAAATAAAGATACACCCACTTCATCCCTCCTTGCATAGTAGAAACATAGATGAAGAGATTGGGCTGAAGAGAGAATATCTTTTCTGGGAAGGTGTGATTTTATGACTGCGGTTCTGTGACTTTTGCCTAAAAAAAAAATTGGGGTGATGAAATGCAGAGGTGAGGTACACTACTGAGAATTTTCTAATTAACTTTTCCCCAGTGAATCAGCACTTAAAGCATTAACAAAATTGATGCTTTATATGAAGACTTTAATCAAATGGTTTTCTTTGGAAGTGTTTGAACATGGGAATAACCTTCGTGGGCAGAGAAGCAGGCACTGATAGTCGAGTGTTCTTTCTATTGATGTTACAGTTCTCATTCATTCATGAAAATAATTAAAACTTGAAATTATTTTTGATTTGTTTGCAAACTGATTTACAATGACTGTTAAGTTCATCTCTTTAATAAACACTTAAGAAAAAGTGAATCTTTTTTCTGTTTTGCGACTTTATTAAGAGACAGGAGTAAAGAGTAGTCTTTCACACTTACAGATTAATTTGCTGACGGTAGTTATTGAGGACTTAGGGAGGTAAAAAGCTGAAATTTCACTTTTACTTCAACATTGTTTTTTTTTTGCCTTTAGCATAGTTGTTATTTAAATTAGTGATTCTATCAGTTCTTCAGATTTTTAGCCTTAATTCTATCAACTCTAGTGTCCTAAGGAATCGAACTTCGCTATAATGTAGGTTTTATATCACTGAATTGGAGCAACAGGGGAAGAAGGGTAGTTTACTATGTGCACAAATGATATGTCAGCACCTGACAGGTTGCTGGTCCATGAATCTTAGTTAACATTTGACATCTTACATGTTGAGTATGAATGTTATTAAAGTTTTCAGACTCTTTTTAAAGTGAAGCCCCTCTCTGTGGTTCCTATATACTGTTTTTGAAGCCAGTATCTTGTATTTTCATCGAACTAAAAAGATTTTTGGTTCAAGAGTTGACTCAGGTGCTTACTGAATTTCTCTCTTGGTTCAGTTAGTGCAAGGGTCAGCAGCTTTTTGGAATGTTGTTGTCTTAATTTCTTCATTCAAACCTAAGTTTTAGACTGTTCAGGCTACGTTTTAGTGCTTCGTTGATCTATTACCTTAAAAAACGAATACATTTAAAAAAAGACTAAAAAGATTTTATTTATTTATTTATTTTTAGAGAGCAGAAGGGAGGGAGAGAAAAAGAGGTAGAGAAACATCAATTTGTGGTTGCCTCTTGCACACACCCCTACTGGGGGGATCTGGTCTGCAACCCAGGCGTGTGCCCTGACTGGGAATCGAACCAGCGAGCCTTTGATTTGCAGGCCAGCACTTCCTGAGCCACAGCCAGGACTAAAAACACACTTTTTAAAAAACATATTTTCATATTTTAAAAATTACCATTTTTTGTCTGGCTGAGGTTTTGAATAAGCTACACACTGCCCCTACCCAGAGTAGCTGTGTCCTTGCCCCTAGTCAGTTCCTAATTCCAGACACTTTTTGAAATGAACAATCTATTTGTTCTCTAAGGGAGTATGTGTAGGTGGTGGCGGCCCGCCGTGGTCGTGGTGGTGGTGGTGCTGCTGCTGCTTTTTGGAATGGTAATAAGTTAATCATTGTTTAGCCCGTAAGACAGATCTTTACCCTTTCTTTTCCTTCAGTTTTCTGAATCCAGGTGTCTAAGTGAGATACAATGATATGTTCTTGCTGTAGCAACATTTACATGTTTAGTTAAAATTACCAAAAAAAAAAAAAAAAAAAAAGCAAAATGGGTAAAGTATCTAGCTGGATTAGGTACCTCTAATCAGAGGATGAATTAGTAGAGTAAGGACTATTCATTAGATTACTTTCGTATGTGTCATAGGTCACAGATCCAATTCTGTGCCTGAGTTTGGTTTCTGTTACCTGGACTCCTTAGCTTACTTTTA